TGGTCCAGTAGCGCCGAGGAGCGGCGCTGCGGGACCAACCCAGCAGCACCCTAGCTGCTCTGCCCCAGGCATGTCCGATTCAGCCGCTGCTGGTCAGTTTCTACAGCGGCTGAATCTGGATGCCAATTCCGACTTACATACAAATTCAACTTAAGAACAAACCTACAGTTCCTATCTTGTACGTAACCCGGGGACTACCTGTATTGTTATTTCTATGTAAGACAGTCACAAATTGCAATCTAAAATATATTTATACATAGAGTGTCTGTATGAAATGTGTGTGTGTGTGTGTACACAATATAACCCCTCCCCTCCCCCCCCCCCACACACAGCATACAGAGAACATTGCAGAGTCAAACAAATGGATTCCAAACTTCTTGGGTGTCACCAACAGAACTGCTCCATTCCAAGCATACACTTGTGTAAACCCATGAAACAAGTACCACAGAGAGCGTGCTAGTAGTTTGGCCTGTAGGACCTTTACTATGACAAAAGGAAAGCACCAAATGTGGCTCTCCGAGATCCAGGTAGGATTGAATGGCTCATGATTAAGAGGGAAATGATTTTTCACCTGTAGACTGAGTACATTTGATACAGAAATCACTGACAGTTATTAAACACAACGTAATTTTTAAAAGAGTGGAACCACAGAGCTCTAAGCATTACCTGTAGGTAAAGAGAGCTTGAAACAAACATGTAGATCTGCCTGTCCTGAGATCTGTATGCACCTATAAGGTTCGGTAGTGCTGGGCTACTCAACTTTGGAAGCCCTGGGGGCCACAATGACACACACAGCACATGCTGAAGGCCGCAACTTAAGTGTGGTTGCATATACATGCAAATATATATGCAAATAGCTTCTTTCACACTGATGGGCATGAATACAAAGATTAAAGCAAGACAACACAACATGCAGGCCCCATTTAAGTCAGTTCTGCTGATATTAACACAATGCAATATTTACCCGATTTCTACCCATATGACAGCACTTTTAATGATCAATGACAGTCCAGGAATTTAACCATTAAAAACACATATCAACACAAGACCAATATATTGACTACTTTTTTGTTTTGGCTCCCATCTGTGGGAGTCCTGTGTAAACCCGTGTAAACCCAAACCACACCGTGGACTGCAAACAAATGGGCTGCAGGCCTTATGCGGCCCTTGTGCCATGTGTTGAGTAACTCTGGTTTAGTGCAATTCAAGAAAATGGGTCCTGTAGGGTAAAAACAGCTCCCAACAGATACATCCAATAGAAAATACACATGGGTGAAGACCTCTAAGTCCAACCCTCCTTTTTGGCAAAGGTTTTTTTCTCTACCACACATTCTGTAGCACACTGTCAAGTTTTAAATGTTCCAAGTGATTAACTTGCTAGCACACAATTTAACAGGCCTTGCTGTTTAAAAAAGGTATCTATTTTATGTAATAAAGTAAGAGAAACACTAGATTATAATATAAAGACCCTCAGTGTGGGCTTTTCAAAAGCACTCAGCATTGATCGGACTCTGCACCTAACGGTAAAACTACTATGGTCTTCACTGGGAGAAAGGCTGAGCTGAGTGCTTTTGAAAATCCCTTTCGTATTTGGAGAGCTGGCAATTATCGGTCATATTTAATGATCCTTCACCATAAAAGTAGCAGCACAGAAACCTATGAATTTCTGTTTTAGTGGGAAAAAAACACAGTATGAAGGGGTACACATTCAGAGCTAAGATATGTATATTACTTTAATTACCCCCCAAAAGCCCACAGACACATTCTGTCTCCAGAAGATTCACATTTAACTGCTACACCCTAGTGGCGAGTGATAGTTAATTCTTTAAAAAATCAGGTTACCCTGGTTAACCACATTATTGGCTAAATAACCACATTCAACACTGATTTTTAAAAGAAAAAAATTGTTTTGGTGTTAGATGATTCATTCTATTAAGAGACAGATCTAAATTATAGTGTAAGTCATATGCCTGATAGTTTTGTATGGAAACAGGTTTAGTGGTTCCGTTTGGGGGAAGGTGTCGGGTGGAGCATGCTCCCTCCACTTCTTAGAATGGTTATAGTTTGGGGGACAGGAGGTGGCCTTGGATGAGTGTGAAGTAGCACCTGTAGTGGTTGCCCCTTTTGCAGTTTGGGAGCAGGGTGGCTAACACTGCCTTCCAAACTCTGTCCATGTCAAAAAGTGGGGAGGCCTATTCCCTGGAACAAGTTCTGTCATCGGTGCCCCTGCCCTTCTACAAAGATTCCCTTGCACAGATAGGACTACTAAATTATACGTTCCAGGCTTTGAATCACAGCCTAAGATCTGTTTTGCAGTTATGACTATATTGTAGCTATTAGACACTGCATAAGGGATGATGCAGAGCCTGGCACTGCAGAGCCATCTTTTAACTGTTTCTGTTTCCCAGGGCTACACCAGAACTGCTTCTTGCCCGGTTCCCACCCTGCCCTTTCACATGCACACTTCTGTGCATGCATTCACACAGACACTCATGCATGCGGGCAAAGGACAGTCTCGTCTTTCACTTAATATTTTGCTATTTAAATTACTTGGCCTTAGTGTAGCTTTCTGCATAAATCTGTAACGACAGACTCATACCTGTAAACATTATGCATGTATAAAGTACCTTTCACCCAAGGATCCCAGAGGCACTCTATAATAGAAAAAAAGTAATTAACCTTCTGACTCCTTCCTCTAAGCATAAACATAAGAACATACAAACGGCCATACTAGGTCAGACCAAAGGTACATCCAGCCCAGTATCCTGTCTGCCAAAACCGGCCAATGCCAGATGCCCCAGAGGGAGTGAACACAACAGGTAATCATCACATGATCCCTCTCCTGACATCCATTTCCAGACAAACAGAGGCTAAGGACACCATTCCTACTCATCCTGGCTAACAGCCATTGATGGACCTATCCACCATCAATTTCTCTAGCTCTTTTTTGAATCCCGTTGAAGTCCTAATCTCCACAATATCCTCTGGCAAAGAGTTCTATGGGTTGACTGTGTGCTGCATGAAGAAAAACTTCCTTTTGGTTGTTTTAAGGCTGCTGCCTATTAATTGTCATGATTATTCCTA